TCACCAGGACAAGAGGTTTAGTCTTCCGAGTTTTAGGACACCAAAAACTAAACTTCTGGTCCTGGTGATTGATCCAGATTGGATCGTGCAACATTATCCTGGGTCCCGTATACTTTCCTTCATTTGTGATATTATTCAGTCATTATTGTGTTGTAGCTAAGCGCTGTTTTTGTATACGCTCTCTAACTATAAAATAGCACCATTCCTTCTTTGTTTTTAAAGTCCTGAGAAATAAAATATGGAAATATAAGGGAATTTCTATTTGTATAATTGGGGAAGAGAGATATGAAAAAACAGAAATGCAAGTTATTGAGCAAAGTTGTATCAACGTTAAAAATGGATTTTAAAAAAGCCATAGTGATAATCAGTGAAAAGCCACACTGAGTGTTACGACTTTAAACAATGATTCTTAACCTTAGCCATTTTAAGATGTATGGACTTCAACTCCCGGAATCCCCCAGCCAGCATATTAAAGTTTGCTAAATTTGAAAAACATGGCTTTAAAGTAACAAACACCAATTAAAGTTGCCATTATGTTTTGTTTTTTTCCTCTGCTCCTATGGGTCAGTTGACCAAATGTTTTCAAAAAAGGTAGAAATTATTTGAAACCACTAGCAAAATTATGTTAACTTTGGATTTGTAGAACTATTATAAAGTCTGTTGCTAAATCCCTCGATAATCAAATTTCAAACCATCTTTAAAATATTGTAAAACAAAACCAGTTAAATGTAGAACCAAATGATTGTGATTAAAATATGGAGAACTCCAGGCCTCTGAGTAAATATACATGCGTATCTCGATTCCTATGTTACTGCACGAAAATGCAGACTTCCTACACTCCTTAGAATCTATTCTAAGGTTCATGCAACTTATAGGATGTTCTCTCTGCAAGGTTGTTCTTGGCTCTGCAGAACATTACATAGTAACCAGTGGTGGGTTGCCAATTTTTTTACTACTGGTTCGGGTGCGCTCACGTAATCTTTCTGCGCATGCACAGAAGTGTCTGGGTGGATGGGTGGAGCCTTCCACCACCGCTACTACCAGTTCCCTTGATCCAGACTGGACAAGGAACAACCCACCTCTGATAGTAACCTGTTGTGGCCCAGCAGGAGCCGTTGGAGCTGCCACCAGACTCCGACAGCGTGGGGCCCTATGAGTCAGCCCTGGAGGATGTGGAGGACCCTGGACAGGGTTCCGACTCCGAGCAGGGTGCAGAGAAACTGGTTGGCCACCAGGTGGCTCC